TCCAGCCTTATGGCTCATTCAGACTGGACGCGATGAGCGATGAGCGACGCGCGATATCCAATGGGCGTGCAGTCTTTATAGGAAAACTGTACGCTTTCCCATAAAACCTGTACGCTCATTGGATAATCGCGCGTCGCTCGTCGCTCATCGCTTCCAGTCTGAATGAGTCATTACGTACGTTTTACGTCCTTACAGAATTTTGTGTGAAGGCCTTAATAGTGAGCTCCCGAACGCACCCTCTCCCGCCGAGCGCGCGCATGCGCGCGACCGACCCAACCCTCCTGCCTCCGGTACCCGCCGCCGGTTCAACACACCGACGTTATGACCGCGTACGTGTGTACGCGTGTGTGACGTCTTACTGGACGCGGCCGGACGTTGCAACGCTGAGCTTCCCGAGCGTAAATTCTCTCGATCCCGGATCGAACAAGGTAGCGGCCGCCGCGGCAAAAAACATGGCAGAGAACGAGAAGGAGAGAGAGAAAACCGCGATCGTGTTGCTCGTCGACGGATCGGAGGAAATGGAGGCCGTGATCGTTGTCGACGTCTTGCGGCGCGCCGGGGTACGTCACACCTAAGTGCGATCGATAATCCCCAGTCTCGTGGCACTCCCGGCGGAGAATAAACCGTACGACATACGTACACACGTATATGATCTTTGTGTCTTTTTCCCTCGCGTCGTGACGCCCCGAAAAGGGGCACCGCGACGGTCGTTGGGATCTTATTTTTGAATGACGCTCCGGGGCGATCAATAACCCCCCACTCTCAAGGTATTCCCCTCGGCAGGAATTTAACTGCGAGACGTGTTGTGTAGGCAGCGTTTCCGACAGGTATACAATGTCGGCGCCGAGAATATCTATAGCGCGCGTTACGCCGTCCAACGCATAATCCTCAGTCGATTTTCAAATAAAACTTGGCGCCTCTCCGTTGCTTGGGCAAGTGTCTTTCGTTATTTTTAAAATGTCGCAGTAACAGGAGGACGTGTAGCTCCTGATTGTACGGCAGATGTTAAGTTGCATCAATTTGATAACAACTGTTAATCAAATTATATAAATCGTTAGCTTAAACTACTCGGCGTCGCCCGCTTTTTATCCTCCAGTCATTGCAAAGTGTCAAGAGGATGAAATCTGATGGGATGTCGAGAGTTCATGTAGTCGATATATTTTTCACAGAGTCCCACGGACTAAGACTTGTATTCTGAACTCTTTTATCAATAAAAACGCCTCTGAAAGTGGCTAATAAGCATTCTGGTTGGTTACAAGGCACTTTTAGAAGCGCTTCTATCGATAAAGGAGGATTCAGAATGCGGACCTAACTGCAAAATTTGGTTCGGATCGGCCAAAGGGTCTAGAAGCTACGTAATAGGGAAACTTTTACGTACCCATCTATTTATAGTTGCTGTTAGAGAGTAAAGCGCAGTCTACTATGGCTGCGTTTCGATATTAACTGCCAGTACTGAAAATCTATAGTTTACGTTACGTATACTATACATTTTCAGTACTGGCAGCGAATATCAGAACGCAGCCTATAAGTTGTCCCAGATAACACAGAGGTGAACGTAAGTTCACAGAGAATTCATTTTTAAGAATACCCGCAGAATTAGGAAACCGAATGTCCGAAGAATTCTTAAAGAATCGGCCACAATCAGTTCGATCTTCTTGAAGTATTCGTCAGACGCTCATTATGGTGCACGTAACTTCCCTAATCAATCTTATTGTATTCTTCTTCGCCCTGAAGAATTAAGCTTAATCTATTGTACAATGTGCTCTCTGCGTCTAGAAACATTCTACTTTGTAGCAAATAAATGCGTTTGAAAAATAGAAAATGCAAATAAGGCTCCTACACAAAACAACTTGAATTAACGAAAGTAATGTTAGAGAACGTTTAGGCAATGTGTGCCGTCACATTAGTATTAACAGTTTTTTAATCTAAAAGAAAACTACATAATCTTAGAATACAATTGTACGTTTCGGTCTATGACTAACAGATTGAAAATCTGTTAATACCGATGCAATATATATATAAAAATTTTGACACCACTTTCAACGGGTGACGGCTCACACTGCCTAAACGTTCTCTAACATTACTTTCGTTAATTTTAGACGTTTAAAGAATTTGTGCAAGGTGATAAGTTGCATGTTACACATTGTACATTGTCGACCAATTTTTTAAGCGTCTAATTTGCTTATGTAAAATAGAATCTTTCTGGACGCAGAAAGTGCGTTGTAGATTAGGCTTTACAACTCAGAGAGGCAGAAGACTTGAAGAACACTTTGCGAATTCACTGCGCTACCCAGAGTTAGTCGTTGGTCCTTTTTCTTTCACCCAAAACAACTCGCTGTAGACTGGGCCTAAGCAACACTGCTTAGTTAATGAAACAAATTGACTGGACCAACTGCCAATTGGAATGTATGATTGAATTCACCAGATCGCAGTCACCGTAGCCGGCGTGTGGGACGCCACTTGCGTCAAGTGCAGCCGTAACGTGAAAATCTGCACAGACGCCGTGTTCACCGACGCTACTCAGGACAAAAGCTATGACATTGTTATACTGCCCGGCGGTCTCAACGGGTCCAAGGCGTTCACGTCCGTAAGTTCGTCCCTGCGATGTCTGATTTCTCCGTGAGGTGCACCGGGTAGCTATATGGAATTTACTTTTGCCAGTCGGTGGAGGTTGGAAAGTTGTTGCAAAAGCAGGACAGGGAGAACAAATTAATAGCGGCCATCTGCGCAGCCCCCACAGCTCTGAAAACGCACAACATCGGCAAGGGAAAGCGCATCACCTCCTACCCGTCGATGAAAAAGGAGCTGTGCGACGACTACGAGTACTGCGAGGACAAAGTAGTGGTCGATGGTACGATAATTGGTTCACATCATGGACCTAAGAAACTATGGACCGAGCGCTGAGCTCGGGAGCTGTTAAATTTGCGGTAAAGGGGTGTGTAGTGCTGTCTACAAGGCAATAGCCACGTTCAGCAGGCACAACTGTTGAGTGAGCGCTCAATGATTTCTTAATATGATTGGCTGGATCTAAAAGTATTAACCAATCATACCGAGCGCTCACTCAACAGTTGTGTCTGCTGAACGCGGCCATTACTTTCGTCGCGTATCCGCGTCGTAAAAGGTCATAGTAGAACTAGTAGGTCCACTCTCCGTCGGCCCCTTTGATCTTTGCGGTCCCGATCACGTGTTAATCCACCATGCACTCGGGCAGGATCCAGCGATGTATGTGTATACGTACTCATCAAAGCCACACCCTTTCCCGTACTTCAGGTTCCGTCCATAGTTTCTTAGGTCCATGGCTCACATACTCGCCCAGTGATATTGTTAATTAGAGGTGTGACATTTTGATGTTATCTTTATACGCAAAATATCGCAAAATGCCCCAGCGACGTTTTTAATGTCATTTCTCTACATTTTGGAGTTTCCAACTTCGTTTTAACACGTTTTTCAAACGCAAAATAATCCTCAACACGCAAAATGTAGAATGTAAATTGTTCTGTCAAAGCATTACGGCCCGATTTCACCAACGTTGTTTAGCTCTAAGCTTAGCTTAATTCGTTCTTCGCCTCTTTTCAAAGTAACAGTTGGAAAGAGACAGAGAACGAATTAAACTAAGTTTAAAATTAAGTGACGTTGGTAAAATTATTGAAGCCATGCCGACCTCTGATCACGGCATTATCAAAAACATTATCAAAATAATGCAAAATCCGCGAAAACAACGCTAAGGGTGCCATAAAATAACATCAAAACGCCTATTGATAATCTCTCCGAGTCGACCGGCGAGCTTTGGGCATTTCATCTTCCCCGGGATTGATATTGTTTTTTTCTTTTACAGGCAATCTCATAACGAGCCGAGGACCAGCGACGGCTATTGACTTTAGCCTGACCATCGTTAAGGAATTGCTGAACGAGGAGAAAGCCAAGTGTGTCGCGAACGGGTTGCTATACGAGGGCTACAAATAAGATCCTCCGAATTTCGCTTCGTAGCCCGCGGCTACGAGGCTCCCGGTGCATAAATTCGATGTATTTGGTGTGTTTGATTTTAGGATGATTCATATACTCTCTGAACGCACATTTACGAAAAAAAAAAAACCAAATGTAGTTAACGAACAAAACAAATTATAATATATGTACTGAAGCGTGGAATTGAAATCGTATATGTACCAAAGAGTGAAAACTAAGATAATATATGTACTGAAGGGTGGAAAAATAAATTACAAGTACCGTACGTACCGACGCGTGAGCGATCACACGGAGCTCGATGCGCGAAAGGTCAGGGATAAATTACAACGATATACGCGTATCGAGGCGCATAAACGAGAGGTACCAGTCTAATTATACTCGAGAAAGATTCGGATGTGTCTTAATGGAAGCGATACACGTAATAAAGAACCGTGTTATTTTCTTCAAGTTCGCATTTGTAATTCCCTAACAGCGCGAGAAGAGAGAGAGAGAGGGGGGACAAAGAGCAGGAAGCGCGGCCATGTCGAGCGGGAAGCGGGAAGCTCCGACGGTTCCGCCATCGACGGCATCGACTACTCTCGACAAAGCGGCGTCCGTGTCCCCGTGTATCTTGGCGAGGCGATGTGCTCTCCGCGACGCCCCACCGGCACCGGCGGCTCCAACGGCGCGCGAATTAACGGGCGCCACGATGAGGGACGATTAGCGCGTGCGTAGGGGCGCGTCAGTGATGCCCGGTCTAGAGGGGAGTATTTGGCACGACACGAGTCCACCACCCACGCGCGCCCTAATGTCCGATGGGGATCATGCGGTGCCCGAGCAAGTGAAAAGGTTCGTCTTCAGGTCGCGGAAGACGCAGGGCGACGAGCGCGAGGAGAGCCTGGAGATCCTCATTCCCGAGGTGAGCGCCGGCGGCGGTCGTTTATTTCCGGCACGCGTGCGCGCGTGCGGCCTACCGGTGCTGCGCGCCTCTTGGTTAGGTCGCTCCCGCGTTCTCGCGAGAGAGCCGTCTCGTCTCGGTCCCTCGATCGACTCCGCGCGGGTTTCTTCACCTCTAAACCTTCGCGCCCCGTAAAACTGTTCTGTCCGCGCGCCGGGCCCGTCGGTCCGCGGATTCTCGCGTCGTCGGGAGTCTGCGACGAGCGCCGCAACATCGCTCCGGTGCACGGCGATCCGGCTGGCGAATGTTGAACCGTTTATGTACGAGGAAACAAAGTGGCGAGGTCGTGGGACGAGCAAATGAGGATATGATAACAAGTCATTGCATATAACGACCTGTCTAGGCTGCGGTCAAGCTGCAAATGCTTCGAAGCGTTTCTCTTCTCTTTATAACTTTACTGAAGGAAAAGTGTAAGCTAGACAGGGTGATAAAAACTAAGTACCATAAATTTGCGTGATGAGAGAAAGGACGAGTACAAGCATTTCAAGTGTAGGAACCGTGGGTCGGCGACGTTTCATTACGGCTTGACGGGCGTTTAACGGAAAAAAACAGTCTCTGTTTTTCCTTCTCTCCACAACGGCTCGCAACGAGCTCTCTTCTTCTCTTGTTTATCCCCTCGAGTCATTACCTCGCATTACATTTTATTTGTATTTCACGCGCAAGCACCAACTGTCTAAAATCCCCCCCCCTGTTTTGGTCCACGTCACATTACCTATTTCTATTCCAAGGATTTTTGCTATCCGAAATTGTACTTTGCCTCTTACAAAAGAGAAGAAGAATACTTGGTAATATTTGAAGCGACAGCTTGACCGCAGCCCTAGTCAAGAGAATGGAACGTTTCCAACCGCACATGGTTATCGACGAAAAAATATGTTGTGCTGTTACTTAGTTTTTGACTGATGAAGACTGTTCGATTCGAAATATTCCGTTAACTTTCGATTAGATGATAGCGAGTCGTGTATGCGCGATATCCCTCTTCGCTCGCTTGCTGTCCCACGGTCCTTTGTTTTGCATAACACCAGCCTGACCCCGAGTTTATTAATGCGAAGAAACAGCTATTGTTTCCAATCTAGCACTCAAGCGATTGTTAGCCTCACACTATTACGAGATTAAAGGTTCGGGGAGCGCGTTTCCAGCGCTAAAAGCGTCTTCTATCTTTGTTCGACGTATAGTGAGCGACGAAGATAGACCGACGCTTTCAGCGCTAAGAGCGTCGCCCCGAATGCAGCCCAAGTTCTCAGTAATGGTTGTTACGTAATTTGGACTCGCAATCCAATCCCAGCGGCACTCGATCTCCATTTCTCACGGATGAAGTTTCCGATCGACCGGTTACTAACTGGTGTTCACTGATTGCAGCTGCTGCAGGCGAATTACAGTTTTTACACCTGGCCCTGCGCGCCCGTGCTCGCCTGGTATCTCTGGGAGCACAGAGAAAGCTTGGTCGGCAAGCGGGTGCTGGAGATCGGAGCGGGCACCTCACTGCCCGGCATCCTCGCCAGCAAGTGCGGCGCCATCGTGACGTTGAGCGACTCGGCGAGCCAACCGAGGACCCTACAGCACATCAAGAGGTGCTGCGAGTTGAACGGGGTCCTGGACCAGGTCCAGATTGTCGGCATCACCTGGGGCTTCTTCCTGTCCAGCCTGTTCTCGCTCGGGCAGCTAGACCTGATCATCGGCTCGGACTGCTTCTACGAGCCCACTGTGTTCGAGGACATAGTGGTCGTCGTGGCGTTCCTGCTGAAGAAGAACCCCTGCGCTAGATTCCTCTGTACTTATCAGGAGCGTAGCGCCGACTGGTCCATTGAGCACCTGCTGAACAAGTGGGGACTGTCGTGTATGCACATAGCGCTGGACAATCTCGGCGCGAATTCCGACGTTAACCTGCACGAGTTGATGCAAGATCACACGATACACCTGTTGGACATACAGCGAGCGGTATAAGCGAATCGACTCTCTTTACCATGGTTGCAAACGGCTTCGGGAGATACATTGTCAATATTGCCAACATCCCCTGGACGGTGAGCCGTCACGAGCTCAGTCTGTACTTCTCCAAGTTCGGTTGCGTGACAAGCGCACAAATATCATTTGATAAAAAAACTGGTCTCCACCAGGGCCACGGAAATGTAACGTTCTTGAAGCAGGAGCATGTCAACGCCGTGCTCGAACGCAAGCACTCTTTGGAGGGGAAAGATTTAGTCGTGTCTAGGAGGAACTAAAACAAAGGTGAGAGTAGCGGCGTTCAGTCAAGGGCGTACCGCGCGAGTCCGTCTACGATGGCAGAGAGCGATTTAGACAGCGAGGTAACCGACCTGGAGGAGACGTTCAACAGAGCTGCCAAGTATCTGCAAACGCTGGTAGCGGAATTGGATTCGGGTCAGCTGCTCGCCTTTTACGGTCTATACAAACAGGCAACCGTAGGCCCGTGCGACATCCCGAGGCCGAACTGGTATCAGGTGCAGGCCAAGCACAAGTGGGAAGCATGGAAGAATCTCGGAGACATGAGCCACGAGACCGCGATGGCAAACTACATCCACGGGATCGAGAGGATAAATCCGTCGTGGGACGAGGAGGAGGCGAGAGCAGAGTCTGCAAAATGGATCGTCTTCAGCAAACTGTCGAACGGGAGCGCCGAGCTCAACGACGAGGACAAGACGTTCTTGGATTGGATTAAAGAGGGCAACGAGGCGAAGGTACAGGAATTTTTAAGCGGCGAGCCCGCACTCGCCAACATACCGGACGAGGAGGGCATGCATCCCATCCACTGGGCCGCGGATCGCGGCTACCTCGCAATCCTGGCTCACCTGGTTAAAAGCGGCGCGAATATAAATTCGCGGGACCAGCACGGGCAGACGGCCCTTCACTACGTGGCGAGCTGCGATCACGTGGACGCGGTCAAGTACTTGCTCTCGATCGGGGCCCAGTCAAACGTAGTGGACAACGACGGTGTTACACCCAAAGAGATCGCGAACGAGCAGATCGCCGCCCTTTTGTAATGCCTATACCACGTTGTACACAATTGTTAATTCTGTTTTGCATATATCAATAAATTCAGTATACCGATAATCTCACATGACAGTCCACGGGGTGCCTTATTTTACATCGTGTCAATCCACTCAATGTTTCTAATAGAGTAAATCTTTATTTATGTACAAATAAACTCCTCTAATAGTCCATTACATTCACAGCCTAAGCACACCTTAGGTAAATGCGTGATTTGTCATTGGCTAGATTTTTTTTAATTCACTCGCTGCCTAATTAACATTATGAGCGATGCCAATTACGAAATAAGCGCACGGAAATTTGTAGAGAATGCAAGGTTTGTTATTTGTAGCAACAATAAAAGTGAAATCTAAAAAATAAAAAACTATCAGCTCTTTAATTATATAATCTGTATTATATAATTTCAAGATCTGTTCCGACAATGCCGATTTACTCCGATGATAAACTCTATTTTCTTACAATTTCATAAAATATAATCATCGTTAACGTAGTATATCTATCTTTTTATCCATAATTAAATGGATATTCAATAATACTGCATTTTTACTTTTTAACGAATAACTGTACATTTTTTATCATGTAATGATTTTATCGTAAAGTAAAAACTTTATTGATCCATTGCACGAACTTTTAAACAAAAAAACTTTTAACAAATATACATGTCCCGATTTATTCTCGATTCTTCAATTGTTTTATATCTAGATATATATTAGACATAAGCAATAAATGTTAACCATAATGCTAATTTCTTAAATTTGACAAATCTAGCATTCTCAATGAAAACAAGATACAACAAACTCGAGATCTCTTGCTTGTGGTACAAAACGAATTTCGTTTAAACACCCGGCGAAAACGTCTGAAATCCGAGTCCGGAAATCGTTATAAAACTACTCAATTAAATTACTAGCTGAGAATGAAAAATTTACGTATATAATTTTTTAACAAGGTAAAATCATAAATTTGACATTCCACTAATATATGAGGCTACGATAATCGTGTGCTTGACAAATCCCCTGTAGATATATATGTATATGACGTGTACGCACATACGCAACCTTCCGGCACGATAATCTTAGTCTGATCAATTCAGGATCACGAGTTCATTGCATGGAAATATACCGTGATTTAAACATGTAAAAATTAATAGTCTAACTATATTAAAAGTTCTTTCGAATCTTAGGTATTAACAGTAATTCAGGGTCGCACGTCAAATCGGTTAAATATAAAGCGCGGATACGTTCATCTCTTCCAGCGTTCCACAACGATTAACAAACAATCTTCACTAATAAATATCACCCGTTGAATCAATTCCAACATATTGATCATCCCGTACTTTAATTCGTTTTTTTTCTCTCAATGGACGTATCGGTTGAAAATTCGTATTGTGAGCGCAAATGCTGTCGTTTAATGTTTCGCGGGTTGAAAAGTCAATCCTGTAATTATATTTCTCACGTATATTAAGCGCACCGAACCTTCTTGTGCGCTTCAACGCTTAGTGAAAATGCAAAAGTGTTCTTACTCGTAGAATTCGTTTTTCCTTATTAGCAATAAGTATAAAAGTCGGTAGTAGGCTGCAAAAATATTATGGTCAATTACGAAATTAGATATGTACCTAGAAACGGTTTGGAAACGACACGCGGCGTGCCGACAGCTGCCGAATGTCTTTTAGACTATCCAGATGCACACTTGGGTCCTCCTCCCGTTTTTCTTCCCTTCGTACAATGGCAATTGTCAGACTGCTCTTCTAAGGATCATCCGTCGAGATACAATAAGAAGTCGTATAAATAGGGAGATCACGGAAAAAAATAGAGTAACTCTGTGTCCGAATCTTATATCAAACTTATGAATACGATCGCCTCTCGTTTTCAATTAACCGACGAACGGCCGTCGGTTGTGCCTCTGTATAAATACTCATCACTGATGCTTTCTCATTTCAACGAAGATTTCCATTAAACTTCTTACAATCCTTATCCACACTTGACAGGATTTCATCGGTGACATATTGTCATGTGTAAAACCGCGTTCTCAGCTGCGATAAATCGGCGAGTCCTCGAGAGTCCCTTTCTTAAGGTCGCGATCGCCTCCTGCCTCGTTCCGTGCTCCGCTAGAGATTGGTGCTCTCATGATCCGACTTAGATCGTGCAGTAGGCGGCGGCGGCGGCGGCGGCTGCGGCCTCGGCGGCCGCTGATGGATCCTCGGCGAGGCCGGCTTCTGCTGCGGCGACTTGAGCACCGTCACCACTGTATTGGTCTGCGTTTGGACGTCTATGATATTACCTTCCGATCTGGTGCGCGCGTGCGCTTTCGTTTGCTCGTGCGGCGCGTCCGGCCTCTCGGGCTTTTCCGGGCGCTCGGGGCCGTACAACGACATCGACGACGGCCTACTACCCACGCTTGGGCTTCTCTGCAAGTTCGAAGTTGCCGTGTTGCCAGTGCTCTCGCCCGGGATGGCGTTGTTCCCCCCACGCACTTGTATTATACTGACCTGCTGTTTGTCCACGGAATACACGTGGGCCCGTTCCAGCGTTAAGGGCTGTAGACGATTTAAGAGAGAAAAAAAGAAAGGATACAGTCTTGTACGTAATTATACAACGGTATACATAATAAAGAAAGCGAATAGGCATGTGTAAGAAAGCTTCAAGACGGTGTGCAGCTTTTACTTCACATGTAGCTTACGTTATCTCAAAATGTAATATCCAGGCAGTGTTATTTGTTGTCCACCCGTAGTAACTACATTTGTTACAAATAATTATCATACATGTGTACAGACGATGTGAATTGGCTGCGTTAAATCGTCTTTACTCACCCCTGGATCGGTCTCTGGATTCTCGTTAGTGGAACGCGGCTGTTGCCTGATGAGACTCGACGGACGAATCAAGCCGGGCGGTCGCTCTGGTATCGCCGGTTTACTGCTTCTGTCATTGGGTGTCGCGTGCGTGTTACTATCTGACTTTTTACGTAACTCGACTACCTCTTCTGCTACAATTGAACGCAGTTATTAACAAAGCCATATCAAAGCAAAGTGCCGTTAAAGAGCGACGTTTCACCTGTGTTGTGCACAATATTCGTTATACTTCTTGGCGCGGCGACCGGTCTTCTCCTCTCTAACGTGGATGGCTTCTCCGTAGGCACTGGTTTTGGTCTCTGCACTGTAGTCTCGTTATGCTCCATCTCCGTAATTATTTTCGCGACACTCGCATTGTCGGACGAGTTGCCATTTGGTTTCTCCTTCGCACTCGGCGCACTTACTTTCGCATCGCATTTCTGCGGTTCTTGAACACTTTTGTCCGCTTCATTGTAATTGAAGACTTCACTTTGGTGAACGGCGGTTTCATGCGACCGCTCGGGATTATCGGCAGGCTGAACGTCCGTCGGGATCGACTCCGAGGCCGGCTGCGATTTCGCGTCCGCCTCCGGCTGCTTCTCGTGCTTCTCCACGTTGCTCTCGTGTCGTATCAATTCGGTGTTCACCTCGTGCTTTTGGCTTCTATACGTCGACCGATTCAGAGTAGACGTCAAGACTCTCGGTGGTTTGTCCGGCGTCGGCGGTGGTTTGTCGTGCCGGTCCGGAGTATTGCCGCCCGGCGGCGTCGGCGCCGGTTTATTCTTTCGGCGCGCCGCCGGTTTCGGGCTGCCCTGCGTCGGGCTCTCGCCATGATCGCTGAGGCTGCTGTTGGAAACGCAGCGGCGCATACCGACGATCTGATGTTCCGTATCGTTGATGATGCCGATTTCCAGATCGCGATCAAAATCCACCTCGCCGGGGAAGAACCAGTCCGCGTACGTGACTAATTGGTCTACTATAAGACTAGAGTTGTTCGCTGTACTCATGTTCATCCTGCAAGCGTGACGAAGGCGTGAGCAATTCCAACAGCAATATGTTAATAATTCCGTTAAATTTTAGTACTCTAAGGCCCGGTTTCACCAAACGTCGCTTTAATCTTAGCTTCATTCACATTTGTCCCTTTCTAAAGTAACAGTTGGAAAGAGACAAAGAACGAATTAAACTAAGCTTAAAGTTAAGCGACGTTGATGAAACCGGGCCTAAGGCGCGATTACACCAACGACACGTGAGCTCAACTCGCTCTTTGGCCCGTATTCTGAACTCTTTTATTAATAAAAGCGCCTCTAAAAGTGGCTAATAAGTCTTCTGTTTGGCTACAAACCACTTTTAGAGCCTAATCTACAATGTGCTTTCTGCGTCTAGAAACATTCTATTTTATATAAACAAATTAAAACGCTCCAAAAATTTGTCAACAATGTACCATTATACAATTGTTAATATGCGATTTATCAACTTGCATACATTTTTTAAACGTATTTATTGACTACAAAATAGAATGTTGCAGAGAGCACATTGTAGATTAGGCTTTATCGACAAAAGAGGGTCCAGAATGTGGGCCTTCGGAAAAGCAAGTTGAGCCGAGATTAAAGTTAATCTGTGCTGATAAAGTGGACACGAGAAAGAGATACGATGAGTTAAGATTATTTAAAATTTACGCGACGTTGGTGCCTTAGACAAATATGTGTACGCCAAAGAAAGAACTGCTTACACTATTGTATTTGCGTCCTCTTGCGGACTCCAAATCAGATTCGGCGCGATGACGATGGCGATGTTCTGCGGCGTCATTTTATTTACATCCTGATTCTTCGTGAGCACAGCTAGAAACTTAATTAAAAACCGCAAGTTTTCCAGGTTCGCCGGTGGTAACTTGTGTAACACCTCCCAGAGAGCTCGTAATCTCATGTCGCTATGCGTGATTTTTGCGGCGGCCATCCATTCGGGATACAATCTGAGTAATCGCAGACGTCAACATCGCGTACGGTGACCACTGTCGATCCCGACTGGGTGTAATACTTACTTGTACGTCAACAAAGGCTCCGGCAGCTCCCGTAGATATGACTTCAACGCGCCAGCAATGACATGAGGATCTTTGTATTCGAGGGCCGTTGTTAAGTTGAGACAGCAGGCGTCCAAGCTCAACTTGATTCGCCGTGATTTCGAGGCGGCGCCAGCGATTCTGAAAAGACCCTCCTCCTCTATACCCAGACGCAGTAGCGCGGACACACACAGCTGTATGGGCAGTGCGATTTTTCTGTTTGTTACCCTAAGATGTTCTTCGAGAGGATACCCGTAGACTGGCTTCATTTCGTTATCGTCTGTAATTGCGATCGCAGTATAAGCCTCTTTCGTGGTGTCGTAAAATTTTGAATTGCAAATTATATTAATGTGATGCGATTGTGATGTATTAAAAAAAAAAGCGTAAACTTACTAATATAGCTCTCCATCGTAGGTATAAGATCTTCGAGACAATGCAACGCACTTTCGTGATATGCCCGCTGAAGTTTTATGTACTGAATAATCGTCTGAGCTAGTTCAGTCTCCCGCGACATGAGCTGGAACATCTCTGCGGCCAATTGATCTCGGCATTGCTCAACTTTCGATTCGGCATCTTCCAATTCTTCCCTCAAGTTGTCTATCTTTGTTGCGCCTGTACCTGTATACAATTTCGCCATTGTAAATGATAATCCTTTAAACTTAATCAACGTAGATTACATTGCATGTAAACGTATAGATCCTTTATAGAATCAATCAAATGGTCAAAACAAAGAACACTCGTAGGTTCTTCACGCACTATTCGTGCTGCAAATATTTTAACTAACAATAAGAACGAAATTGAGAGAACACTTGAAGCACAAGGATTATTACCAGTACTGTGTTTCATCGCTTGGAAGTATCTCGTTCTGGCGCTGTCCATGTCCAAAATAAGACGCGCTAGGTTTCTCTTATACTTCAATATATTTGGTACATCAGTGTCTAAAATATGCTGCAGCGGGGCGGCCACATATTGTTCGACTTTAGCCTCATGTTCCACGGCCTCGTTAGCCAATGACATCTGCACTCGTCCACACTCCACCAGCGCGAAACTCATGAGGCCGTCCTCGCCGGCGTTCTCCAACATGGTTTGCCCGAGTATGTACTCGGGGGATTTTTTCTAAGAAACAAAGGGTGTGACGTTTAGCGACCGCCATCTAACAAGTTTCGCAACAAAAGGCACTGGACGTAAAGGATCTGTAACGCCTCGGGATCGCAATAATTGCTGCCCGAGCTCACGTTGAATACACCCCAAATTTTAACGACTCGATTCCTTCGACGCATGATTCATCTATTTACCAAACGCTTATCCTTGAGAGCCGGATCTTGCGTGATGGTCTGGTTCGGTGGATTCCCGAGTCTTTTGCTGAGACCGGTGAGAGCCGCTCTGATCTGCTCGACATGCTTGTCAGCGGCCACCAGATCATCCGTCAACACCTCCGTTCTACCAGCTCTGTTGGCACGGGAAATAAACTTTCACTGAGACATTGCACATTTGATAGCAAGAACATCTTATCTTTTATCTTTCGCAGTCCCTGCTTTATCACTCCTAATCTATCCAATACCCGTAAGAGTAACCTCAAGGTCTATTTTGGCATATTCTGAACGAGAACTCAACCCGACGGACCATGTTCTCTGTTAGAACGTAATCAGTCGACGATATTCCGACGTGTTACCTTCAATAAGACACATCTTGGACAAAGTCCACCTACTTCTTTACACCGCCTTCAAATCAAGTGACTCTTACAGCAACCCCTTACCGTCAAAGTTACCGCTATCCACGAATATACATTAAGCTCTCAAAGAAGGGGGAGCACAAGGTACTTGACGCAACGCACAGCACATAGATAAAATTAGGAGCAACGGTCATGCTGGGCGGTTCTAGCTCGGGGCTACCTGGAGAAGGTCTGATCGGCGAGCTGCTTCACCCGGAAAAACTGCTTCTTCATGGTTGGCTGGGGGAGGGGGACGATCGACGACACCCGAGCGTAAATCCCTGGACGACCTATTCCCGGCCTCCCGAGGCCCAGGCGTTTCACACACCGACGCCTCGCGATGACTCGCGCTCACGCTCGCGCATCCCCCGCGACTCCCTCGCCGTGTTCGCGCGGCGGCAGCGGCAGAGCGCGGGGCGGGCGGCAGGCAGGAGGGTCCTTGGTGTCGCGGCGAGGGCGGGCGTCCGTCATAATGTTGGCGCGACGATGATCTCACAGCCGGCGATCGGAACCGACGCGCTCGCGACCGATCGGTTCTCGCGCACCATCGATAAGATCCACGGCGATAAAGGGGAACCGAGCCAGCGCCTCCTCCGGCCCGGTCGCGGCGATCGATTTGGGTTAGGTGGATCCAGCGGGTCTGACTCTCGCCGCCCCTCTCGCTCTGTCCCACTCCCTCGGTCCCTCTTGCTCCGGGTTCTCTCGATGGACGAGGGCGAGCGTTCCGACGCCCGGCGACGTGCCGTGTACCGCGGCTGGCACCGTGGCGCTCTTACGTCACGTCGATCGAGCGTTTCGAGCGTCCCCTTCGTCGGGAAACGCGGCGGACTCGCGCGGACGGTCCTCTTCGGGGCCCGCACGATCGGCCTGAAGCTGGTCGCGCGTCCGGGCGGTCGCCTTCCCACGACCTACCGTCTGCAGAGCGCACAGCTCTCCGAGACTTTGACACACACACACACTCTCTCTCTCTCTTTTTCTCTCTCGCGTCGAGCCTTTTTCGCGACGGCACGGCTGATAGATCCGTCAAACCCGCGCAAAAGTCGCTCGTCGCCGATCTCGCCCCCTCGCCCCCTTCAGACTCGCCCAAGATCGATCGATCGGTCGAGCGACGGGGGCCGGTCGATTCTCGAATTATCGCTCGGTCGCCGCGCGGCTCGCCGCCGACTTCGCGACGTCAGGTGACGGGCCCGGTCTTCGGCGCATGCGCGAGAAAGCGGCCCCCCTGACAAGCACTGCTGCCCACGCGGCGGCCGACCATCTGTGTCCCGTGTCAACAGTGTCGGAGCCGTCGACGGGCAGTTCGCTTCGGAGCCGCGCGCGAAACGCGAATCACTCCCGTGCACACGCGTGCAAGTACATACGACGTAGCGCCGTACCCACCGAGCATCATGGATCGCGCCTTTTTGAACGTGATGATCCTCAGCTGGGGATTCATGCTGGTCTTCACGGCGTTTCAAACAATGAGCAACATAGAGGTGAGGCGGGACGATTATCGTTGTTGCCGTCGTCGTCGCGCTCGGCGTCGTGGCGCTTCCGCATTCTCGAGGAGATCGATCCCTCCGGAGTAGAGCGTTCGACTTGACGCTCGAACAGGTTTCCTGCGTCGCGCGCGCGACTTCTTGGAAAAGATTCCCCTCGGCGTTCCCGAGGCGGTCGATTCGAAAACGCGCGACTCGTATTGCAATTCTACAAGTAGCGGCGATGCGCGATTGTGTCAGCAAATCGTTCGAGCAAGTCTATGATCACGAGACACGGTTAGTGTCTCGCGTAAAGTACAAAGGCTAATCTACAACGTGTCCTTTGCATCTGGAAACATTCTATCTCCTGGCCAATAGATGCGTTTACAAAATTTGGGCGAGTTGATAAACTGTGCATTACACATTGTACAATCGTAAATTGTCGGCAAGTTTGTCAAGCGTTTTGATTTGTTTACACAAAATAGAATGTTTCTAGATGCAGGAAGCACATTGTAGATTGGGCTTAAGCGTAGCTAGAACCGCGCGCGCGAGACCGACGAACAGTGTAGTTCACGCGAGTTGACGGGCCCTCAGATTTTCAGATCTCAACAGCGGCTGATCCGACGAACTTCTACGTGCGCTCAATCGATAGCGTGGGTTCGATTTGCATAATGAAAGTGTTTTAATTTTTCTCCTACGTGCCCCATGAGTGGAGATATTGCAATGCAAAGTCCGAGGTGCTAAATTTTCTCGATGTCTCGATATTATTAAGAAATCGTATTCTACGGAAGTTTTCTTTTCGAACGTGCGTCCGAACATGTGTTTGCCCTCGAAAAGTTTATCGTCAAAGTCCGGTCTGCAAGGAGCTGTTTTACATGTCGGTCCTTCTTCCGTCCAGACACTAACGGATCACTGTAGACCGGGCTTAATACTTTCATGTCCGTTTGACACACGCGGGACACGCTCGCGAGATTATAAACGATCTTCTTCGTTACGCAACAAACGACGAAACGTATAAATTAGCTTTATCCGCGGTGAGGAGATACGAGATTGAACGGACAAATGTTTATCCTACACTTATTATTTTAGAGCCGAAGTCTGTCACTTTGGCCCCTATTCAAAATCCTCTTATCGATAAAAGCGCCTCTAAAAGTGGCTTGTGACAAAACGGAAGGCTTATTAGCCACTTTTATTGATAAAAGAGGGTTCAGAATATGAGCCTTTGAATAGCTATATAAAGCTGAAAAATATATAATTAATATATGCAGTTGCATTCAAGAAGTTATAAATGTTTTTCTAGTTTGGTGGCAACAAAATTTTTGCAATTCCAACGTTGAACTTGGAAAAAATGACGTGTTTGCAGCACGATCTCTCATTCCCTCTGACGCAGGTACTCTGGGATTAACGATATGATTGGATAATACTCGGCGATCAGCGTTGCGATCCCTTTTTCAGCGAGTTGAAAGTGGAGCGCTTCTCCCTGATGTTTATGTCTGTCTCTGCCAATGTAGATTAATTTTTGCGGTTTTAATAACTAGAGAAAGATGAAAGGACAAGTTAAACCGCGATTAAAGTTAATCTACATTGATAGACGTAGACATCAGGCGTTCAAGCGCGAGCGATTTGTCCGAATTACTTCCGCGTCCACGTTGAGGGCGGAAATCGAGGGGCGAACCGCTAAGGGCATTGTGTACAGATTTGCGGCATTACTGGACATTGCAAAGATAAAATAACATGAAACAAGATAGAACAAGGTAAAATAAAATAATAAGATAAAGTATTGCCCACTGGGCATTAAGTAGGCATTGGTGTACATACACGATTTTGGTCAGCGGTTTACCCCTCGGCGAAAATGTTCGGTGCGGGAGAGCGACCGTGATTTCGAATTTCGCTGGACGCCTCGATATCGGACGACTTCTATTTTACGACACGAATAAAACGTTCTCGTTGGTCTGCAGAGTATCCTGGAAAGTATAAATCGAGAGATACCGATTAGTCGCGTGGTTTAGAAAGTACCACAAAAGGCAAAGAGCTGGCCGCGATCGGCCGCGAGGCTGGAACGCCTCTAAATTACACGATAGCATTATCGACTTTCTGCGTTGCGAAATTTCCGCGCTCTATGAAATACACATTAATTATACACATCAGAGGTTTTTCCCCTCGAGAGCCGAGCGGTGTCTGGATGAGGCCTAAAAAAAGTCGCCGCACGACTGAAGACGATTCTTGTCTGATGTTCTCTGTCGAAGGAGAAAAGTTGATTCTCTTAAAATACAAGTCGCTATAAAGAGTATTAAATCCTCTCCATTTTGCCATCTTCGTCCCTTGTATTTGTTAGATAATCTCTTTACGCTGCCTCAATATTTTACTGATTTTTTTTCTGTCTCGTTTCTTACAAGTAGTCTTTAACACCTCGTAATGGCTTATCTTATTTGCGCGATCTCAAACTATTTCCCGGGAATGTCGTTTCAGAATATACATTAACAAATTGTCGTTTCCGCTCGCTGTCCTCTTGCACAACGGTTTTTTGTTTTCGCGGGTAATCTCCCGAATTTCATACCTCGCGCCGCTATCTAAAAGAGACTTACATAATGCATTCCGGATATCGCAGGAAGGTTAATCTGGAAGCGCGCGAGAATCAGCGCTTCGCCGAGAGCCGCTGGCTGATGCCCGTCACAATCATTACCGCCGCGTTATCTCCGTAATTCAGAAGTATCTGCGGATACGCGATATCTGCGATTTTTCACCGACGCGCGGCTAACAATTGATCGCCGCTGCGCGGTATAACGGACTTTGTTTGCGCGCGAATTCACCGGCCGCTATCACGTCCGACTAGCTCGCAAAAGTCGCAGATTACGGTCCGATATTGCACCCAGCGGCGTGGCTTGGTGGCTTAGATCCCTCGCGCTCTCGCGGAGTTACGCCGTGATATTTTCTGAACCGTTTCTTCCTTAAATTTTGCCTAGAGAACGCGAAGGATATTGTTTAACTGCTAAGAAAGGGGGGAAAATATTTTGAGATACATCGGGCGTTCAGTCAACACTTGCGTGATGAAAGAGTTAATCATTTACGAAGATTTCAGAAGTCGTGTGATATACGATTTTAGAACGACGATATTTCGTAATCTCGCTGACCTTTTCAAATAATTTCGTCTCGATAAAAGTTCACTGCCAATTAGTAGTAATTCGAGAAGCTTAATTTAAAAATTAAGTATTCGTAACATTATGTCCGACTCCATTTTTCAAACCGTTTTTTTTAATAATTAACCGGAAAATACCTCATTTAATTACGAGGTCAATTCTTATGATACCGCACGGAAAGAACAATGTAGCTGCTGTAGCTAAAACTTAGCAAAATAGGGACAGCTAATATTTTTAGTTGTGATAGCTCAATATTTTGCTACGACAGCAAACCGTTTGCTGTCGCACCTAATACAATAGGCACAGTAGCAAAATATTGAGCTATCATAACTAAAATATTAGCTGTCCCTATTTTGCTAAGTTTTAGCTACAGCAGCTACATTGTTTTTTCCGTGCGAATAACAATAATTAGATAACGAATAATTCTAACCGACCTTATCGCGCGAAAGTTTTATAATCGCATCGACAGCTTTATTTTGCACATTTAATCGTAAGAAGTTCATCAGTTGGTTACGTCAGTCTTTCAAGAGCTAAGATATTAATTTCCCCTTTTGAAGATTTCGAAGAGATTAATCTTCCGATTGAAATTTCACGATTATCGATATCGCGGCTTATCGAAAGGTGCAATTTATCGCATTTGCACATAATTAAATTAATCCAATAATATTCTAGATGAATTTAATTGCATTTCGATTCTTTTACCCAGATTTGCCCATCGTCGTTCTAGAAAGACATTCGTATCTTTTATTATAGCTTTCGTAACGTTGATAGTATGTGGTGTACGAGTATTTGCTTCTCGTCCTTCTAAACAGTCACCGTATTTCAAAGACAATTTTTTTACATATGCTGACAAATCATGAACGTTTCTCTTGCATTGCGACTACAGGAATGACGAATTCCCAAAATCAAGCATCTTCCTATTTTTAACAAATTTCGAACATATTCCGGATTAATTAGCGACGCGTTCATTTTCCGCCTCGTTGTCTCAGAAAAACAACATCTCCCCTTAAGCTAATTCGAACGTTAATTTCGGGCGCCGGTCATTACCATGGAATAGAAATTGGCGATTGTCCGTCGATGACGTTGACGCATCGTCATCTTACAATTAGTCTAATCGGACCCGATTAAATTATACGAGGTATTCGATTCAGGAGCAACGTGTTACACTTTTGCACATAACGAAATTAATAGACTAGGCTGTTATTTTCTCTCTCTTGAATCCTCGCATTGGGACTTCTAGAACTCCCCCCCCCCCCCCCGCCTATTGTACCGATTCTGGAAACGGACTGCCGATCTCGCCGAAAGAGAAAGTTTGCCAACGCGCAGCGAAATGTATCCTAGACGTGCTCGATAATTGCATCCGCTGAAACCTGAACCGACGCAACCGGTTCCACGCCGAATTCGTCTCGCGCGTTGCCCTTCGCCGTGTCGCAATTCGCTGGGGATCATAAAAAGGATCGAATTCTCGAGGAAAATTTCCTTGGACGGATAAGATGAAAATTTCCTTGGACGGATAAGATGGGGTCCCGTCGGCCGTAATTCATTGCCTCGGCGAGGCAAAGGGTCCTGGGTTCCCGATAGCGCGGCCAGAGAAATATCTAAAACAGAATGCCTCGTTAGTCGATACAGCTGTACGAGATATGACGCAGTCTCCTTTCACTTTTAGGCTTGTGAATATAAGAGAAAGGAGGAGGAGACCTCGTTGAATAACATTAGCTATCTATGCGGCGGCACGTTAGTTAAGAAAATAATGCTCGCAAACGGCTGCCGATAAATGTTTCGTTAATTGATAAATTTCGCTAGAATAAACAACGGCTATTGCACTTAATATAATTAATAAAAGTACAGACGAATAGATTTTATAATATATTATTATTGTAATAATTATTGTGATATTTTACGATAAATTTGTCTATGCAAAAGATATCGCTACCGAAAGAGATAAGGAAAGCTCGTAGATAACGCAACGTTTTATATATTTATGATATATTTAGCTCGTAAATAAACTAAATAGATCAAACGTGTTTTCATTTGCCGTAGGATATTCTTCGAAAAATATAGATAATGACGTTTGTAGAGAATCTACGAACATTTCTTTCTACAAGCAAGAAACTTGACAAATGGAATTGTAATTTTAGTAGCATCGAACTTTTCGAGAGATTCGTAATAGTACGTTGCAAAATTTAGAATTAGTACGTTTTAACGATGCGCGTAAAGTTTATTTATCGGCAACGCGAGATTGTTTTGTTAAATGCAATTGTCGAAACACGACGTGTTCCAGATTTGCCCCGCTTTCATTATCTAGAATTCTTACGGATTTCTTTCGAGAGTCGCATCGGTGTCAATAATGTAAGAGTTATGTACACATCTATCTATACGATCTTACAATACCAGTAGAATCTTATCGAATGCACATTATCAGCAAGAATACTTGGCACCGGATTTTTATGAAAACGAGGCTGCAAACATATTCGTAAAAAGGAAATATATATTGTTATCTCACCGAAAAATCTCGCTTATTCGTCATTATCGCTGACGTATTGACAACCGCTATCTTGACATAGAACATGGTAGTACATAGACATGATAAACATAGCTAAACGGCAACAAGCAATCCAGCAACAATTTTAAGAGATGTTAATCCCGGTTATACCAACGTCACTTAACTTTTAGTTTAATTCATTTTTGTGTCTTTCTAAGGCGACAGTTAGAAAGAGACGAGGGGGAAACTGCCGAGGGCATTGTGGTGTACAGATTTGCGGCATTACTGGGTATTACTAGGCATTTTTTGGGCATTAGTTTGGGCATTAGGCCTTGCTGAGGTATTATAAAGATAAAATAAGATAATAAGATAAAGTAATGCCCCCTGGACATTAGTGGGCATTGGTGTACAAGAGTTTGCTCAGCGGTTTCCACCTCGGAAAGAGACGAAGGATGAACTAAAGTGAGGTCAAAGTTAAGCGACGTTGGTAAAACCTTCGAAATATTTAAAGAGTCCACGTTCATTAGATTCTGCAATTATCACTGCCTAGAAATGTTGCGTACAGAAAATAGCTACACATTCTAATAAAATCACGAAGATATCTTTTTTCTCCGACGTCAGAATTTACTTGAACTTGAGGTCTGACGGGCTGACACTAATATTATGCGTAACGTGCACGAAAAAAAGAAACTGCTAACGCGTTACATGTTACATCATCAATAGCGATTGTCGATTACTGATAGCTTTCGAGCGAGTTTCGACGATGTTTACTCCGAAAATGTCGGCGATAGATCTCTCTCTCTCTCTCTCTGGAAATACGACGTAAAATACAGCTGCTATACTTTCCTACATGTGAAAGCGTAGTTGAAACTACGATCGCGGTCGAACCGATTCGCTCCTAATACGATAGTAGCGATAAGTGAAATCGCGATTAACGCGAGCCCGCTTACGAATCTTGCGAGCCGTTGCCCAAATAATTTTTAATTAGAACGCTCATTAACGATTCTTGTTAATTTTAAAATCTTTTTCTTCCTCGTGTATTAGGCTTAAAGCCTGTTTCATCCAGTTCTCGTTCTGGTACTTGGAGCATTTCGTTTTACTTCATCTTCGGTAGGCTGCTAACCTTGCCGAAGAAAAACTTCCATCTGGAGGGCTGTACCCCTAAAGGGGTATGTGTGGCGAGATACTCGTGGTTACCACTTTCCTTCGGCAGATTCCGAAAAATAACCAGCGGTGTCCGTGGATTTGAACTCGGATCTTTTCGTTCATTTGTTTACCAAGTAGCGCACATTTCTTTGCGCCACACTCGCCATCATTTTAAAATCAATCCGTTGTATGTCCGTAGTTTTCCTGTTAAAATCGCTATATTGTTTCTTTACAATGTTTTTGAATCTCGCCTTAAAAGTCGCACGAACTATAGCTGTTCCGATCGAACAGATTCTCTCTAAAATGTTCTTTATATACTTATCTCTTTTGAAGGAGGAAATATGTAAATGAGGTAAACGGTTGCCTCTCTTAGATTGGCAATTAATATGCAGCGCGGTAAATCCGGACATCCCTAATCCTCATAACGGCACGTGAAAGGAATATAAAATAACTTTCCTTGGTATTCTGTGGTTATCCTTGAGACGTAAATAAATGTAGTCTTGTTTCTGCAGTTTTTTGTAAATGCAGACCAGTTTCAGTCCTAAAAATAGGATACCGGAATTGTGCGATACAATGTGCATTCCGATGCTTCATTAACGTATCTCCAATTCTTACCCGATTCTCGTCCGATCGTTTTCCATTTCTCTCCTACGTCCAAAATACTTTTCGCGCCACTGTTTAATGCTAAAAGAAAACAAATATACATGTATCAATTTCATTTCAATAAAATCTACATTTTATACATCTATGTATAATAAACAGAGAGATATAACGTTCAACTAAATTCACGAAGAAAACACTCAGGTCCCAGCGTTATTTGGGTAATGTGCCCTTAAAGCAAATCCTCTATGCGACGCAGAACAATCTCTTTCCATATGAAAGAGAAACTACCTGACATATTACATGCAGAGTGGCTGTTTCCAATTGGCATTTCCAAGCCGGTCGCCGTGGACCGACCTTCGTGCATACAATACAATAGGAACTCGACGGAATCGCCGAAGATTTTACGTGATATCACTGCAACAGCAGGCGACAGCGTGACGGAAATATACTGATCTTCTCACGTTGATCTCCATTGTTCGCAGAAAACTGTTCTGAACAGCATCACGGAGGAAGATCCAAGCTTCCACGGTAACGCTTATGTCAGTCTGGCCATAATCTACGCCGTGTTCGCAACCTGCAACTGGTTAGCGCCATCGTACATCTCGGTGACCGGGCCGCGGGTAGCGATAGTCACGGGCGCCTGTTGCTACGTACTGTTCATCGCGTCCTTCTTCTATCCGCACGAGGCCCTGCTGTACAGCATGTCGTTGCTCGTCGGGATCGGCGCCGCCCTGATGTGGACCGGCCACGGGCAGTACCTGACGGAGAACAGCGACAACCACACCATGTCGCGGAACGCCGGTATATTCTGGGCGATTTTTCAGACGTCGCAGTTCGCCGGCAATCTGTTCGTCTTCTTCATCTTTAAGTCACCCAAAATCGACAAGGGCCAACGAATGATCGTGTTCAGCGTGCTGACCGGCCTCGCGGTGATCGGCACCGTGGTGCTGTTCGTGCTAAGGAAGTCGCCGCAAAAACTAACGCTGGGCGAGGCTGAGGGAGTGTCGCACGCCGACAAGGAGCTGCGCCTGCCGGAACCGAGGCGCGAGAAACCGCTGGCGGTCGCGTGGCGCGCCTTCGTGGACGCGATCAGGCTCTTCCTCACGCCGACCATGCTGCTGTTGTCGTTGACGTTCATCTACACGGGCCTCGAGCTTACCTTCTACTCCGGCGTGTACTCCAACAGCATTGGCTTCGTGAAGTCACTGGGCGACGACCGTAAGAGGTTCGTAGGACTCTCCGGTATCTTCATCGGCGTCGGCGAGGTCGCGGGCGGCGCGATCTTCGGCATTCTCGCGTCCAAGATATCCGGCAGGTGTGGCGGCTGGCCGGTGGTGATGACCGGCCTGGTCGTACATCTGTTTGCCTTCATCAGCATCTTCCTGAATCTGCCCAACGACGCCTCGTTCATGGACACGAACAACGTGGGCTACATCTGGCCCTCACCGTACCTCGCGATGGCAGGCAGTCTCGCCCTTGGTTTCGGCGACGCCTGCTACAACACGCAGATCTACTCGCTGCTGGGCGTCCTGTTCGCCAACGAGAGCGCACCGGCCTTTGCTCTCTTTAAATTTTGCCAATCCGTCGCCGCGGCTATTAGCTTCTCATACAGCACCTCGGCGGGACTGCATGTACAGCTCGCGGTGCTGTTCGTGGCTATATTTTTCGGTACCGCGGCCTTCTGCTATGTCGAATACAAGGTCTTAAAGTCCAAGGACGAGACCCCGCAGGAGACCGACCCGGCGTTGGTCGATGCCACGAGTGGCGAAGATTGATAAGGCTAGTTAGATGCATTTGTTAGGTAGCAAAGACACACAACGAGTTCGGATGTGAATCAAGTGCGCGAAAGATCTCGCGAAGGAGGGACAACACCGCGGAACACGAGAATGCCGCATTAAATGTAAAGCGAACAACTCACGGTCGCCTCGAACGAGCGTTAACGCAAATTATTTTAGCATAAGTTAACGATAAGATATCCTTGCAAATTTTAAGTATTACATGAATCATTCTGTAATTAGAGACTCTTTACAATATTTTGAACATGGTAAATGGTGCAATCGATGATACTTGACTGCGAAGAAATTGCGGATTTTCTTGTTAGGCTATCCTCATTTTCTGAAATTCCATTTACTATTGTAAGAAACCTCTAATTCAGGTCTGTGAGAATATCGTCGTACAAGTGACTAGACAAAGAGGATATCCAGGAATGTATTTACGGTTGAATGTTATCATGGTCTTCCAGTTTTTACACGTTTCTCAATCCCCACTTTATTTCGGGGTAACTGTGCTTCAGACATTTTCTCCTTTAAAGCGGTATCTTTGTATACGTAAATGTGCCAGGTAAAACCCAATTATATCTGTATATACAATTGTACGTGTGTATGCATCTCATTTGTCGGCGTCAATGTTTTCATTAGGCCGAAAATGTTGCATCACTCGCAGAGAGTCGAAAGACGCTGCTTTAAAGGCACCGATCTAATTTAATCGGTTATCGTTATTAAAATGCAAGACTTATGTCTCAGCGATACAATTATTATATGTATGTAATGCATATATTGCATATATGCATATAATGCATATATGTAATGCAATAATTTTATCTCCTTTCATCCGCAAACTCGAAGGCTGTGTAAGGCCCTTTGCATTCATTGCGAGCTCCTTTTTGTAAATTTTAATTACGTGTTAATGTTAACGATTACGAAAGCGGATTTGTTTTCTTAGCAGCGATTGTTCGCACCGGTTTTGCAACGCACTGCAATTTTGTGACTAACTAGTCTGTAACACGAGTCCGCCACAAAAAAAGACTCGCGTTTAACTAGTCCGTAACGCAGTATATCGACTTTACGTCTGATCGTATGTGTATGCGTGTGTGTGTGTACGTGTGTGGGCGCACAACGGTACGTGACATTTATAGCTCGAAACCCGATTGAATTGTCCGAGATCAGACTTAAGGATCTTGTTCCTTCCCGTTGATCGACGCTCGCCTCAAGTGTCGCGGCGAACGTGTAGATTAACTGTTGCGGCATGCATGCAGGATGCATTAAAAGTCGGGCACTTTCCTCGTCATTCCTAAACAGCAACTACGGGGCAGGAACTGAAGCTGTAAAGCACATAGGAGAAATTAATGCAACATAAAATAATCGAGTCTTGAAGTTTGATGGAAAATCGTATTAAATTGTAGCCATAAAACGACGCGAGTTTGCTGTTGATAAAGTTTTGAGGTGAGATCTTTTTTGTTATGATGTAATCAAGCGACTTTTGAGACATCCTCTATGCAACACCCGTGCATTCTGCTCCTTTTTTCCGTATTTTATTCGGTCATGGACGTGTTAGATATATTTTATATCTTATGATAGTGGATAAAAACGCGAGTAGAAACGTAGCCAATGATGATCAGCTATTCTCTTGACAATCAAAATTCTGTCGAAGATACTGCACTAATGAATATGTATACGAGACATCGTGTGTGATACTTTTAGAGAATGCATTCCTGCCTCCATCATTTCCGTAAAGAGAAAGGGGATTCCGTGTTGTAGTTCCCCTTACGCATTACATTCTATAATACACATGCGCGTGTGCTCGTACAGAGTATTCCTTTTTTGCATGTAAGAATTATTCTTGGACACGTACCTGATAGCGAAATGTCACGATCTACTTTAAAAACATACAATCCCGATTATAGAGCAATCGAGAATGATCATTATTGTTTTTATCGTCAAATAGTTTATGAATAATATTTTATGAGATCTATATATATATATGTTTATATGAATTTATATCATAATAAACAATATCATGTATATATGAAATTGAACAATGTCATAAATGACGATGACGTGTGATTGTTGTTAGCAAATATATTTATAATATTGTAAAAATATTTGTACTTTTCAATTTTTCGATTCTACGAATTTCCCCCGCTTCTCTCCTGACTTATAAATCTTGAACATATTATAAGACAGCTTAAAAAGTACACACAATTGCCACTTAATCTGTAAAAAGATTATAAAACAAAGATTCCTTTTAACAGTTAAAACATCTCTACTTAATTAATTGCATTAAATATGTCCTTCATCAATTTTTCAATATATTGTCCATTCGTGCCACGAATCTTCATATGTGAATCACCCTGATGATTCATACCTTATTGGGTTTTATTAATCATCGAGTTGGCAAAGGGCAGCTACACCTCGATTAATCCAATGCGATTCGTCCAGATCCGTCGGGATCAAGATGTACAGTATAAAATTGGAAGAATGCCCCGTAGTAGCTAACACACCGCGTCTAGCACTCGTCTTGTACACTGGACAATAATAAACGTCTCTTATGTTGAATTTAGCCTTTTCGCCAGGTTTTATCCATATAATGGGTAGCACATCAAACATTATCTTAAGTTTAGACTCGTCCAGCAATCTCGTTTCTCTGTTCCATCGAGCTCCCTCCAGAAAGAGGCCCTGAGCAGAACGTTGCAAATAAGAATTGACTGATAGTGAAAAAAACATAAAAGCAACGTTATCGCGATAAAGCAATACCGTAGAATATTAATAATTTAATTAGTGAAACTTGCGTACGCTTATATAAACCCCGTAGGAAGGCGCAGCATCGACGCTCGACTCGGAACGGGTGATCTCGAACTCGAAGTCCAGCTGGTCAATCGGTATTTTGTGCTTGCGAGCGTAATTCTGCAGCACCGCCGTCAGAAACGACTGCGTGAAGAAGAAGCCGGATATCCAGAACACATTTGGTACATCGCGATCGATCCAATCTTGCAGAAACTGCAATCTCGCCAACAGATCGTTCACGTAGCTGCCGAGCGGCTTCAGCGAGGGGTAAGATTTTCTATCCCAAGCGAGCGGCACCTTGCCGATGCTCATGCTAAGATAGACATCCTCCAATTCCGGTGACATTAGCACTAGTCCTCGAATGGCTTTCCGCACGTTGTCCAATGTTTCCTTGATAACCTCGGTGAGTTCATTGAATTTAACGAGTTCCTGACGCAACACCGTGTTCATGCTGTTCATGTAAAGTACCGGATACTTGCTCGATACATATTCAATGTCAAACGATGGTCGCATCTTCGATAGGATCTCACCAGCCAGAGCGAAAACTATTTCGTCCGTGTCTTTCTCGACACCTGAAAATTCGTGAAAATTTATTAATGAAAATTGTACTTTTACACGAACTATATCGTGACGTGTGGAGACAGTAACATTGCATCACTGCAAACAGGTTCCACGCCAACATTTTTACATATTGCTGTATTATATGGCAGAGTTACACCAAGATTGCGTAAAATATTATAATCTTAAAATAAATGATTCCTGCAATGTTCTTGTAATTCTATCAGTGCTGTATACGAAATCCAAGCTAACTGCATTGACCTACGTAAAAATATTACTAAAAATAATAAGTTTAACAATGATCTTTCAATTGTAAAGAGTAGGAAAAAATCTCAATGATTATAAAAATTAATTTAAAGTTGAAAATAGAGAAATATTACTCGCCTACTCCGCTGATCTGTGGCTGGGTTAAAAGCGCACCGCCCAACAGTTGCATCGCTTCTCGATTGTCCTTCGCTATGTCTGCATTCTCATGCAAACCAAAAACTTCCGGCATTTGATTGATTGGCAATCTGCGAATGTACTTCAGACAGCCTTCATAATCGGGGTCCTCCGGCATATGGTAAACTTCGCTCGGGGAAAACGAGTATCTGGAAACCAAATTGTACGAGATACATATTAATAAAGGAAAAATTTTTTAATTTACGAACATGTTTTATTTGGCAAACTTGAAATTTCTTAAAATTTTTCTTAAAAAGTCTGATCATCTTAAATGTCATTTTTTTCATAACTTTGTTTTCAACTCTTCCATTTCAACTCTTCACTCTGTGAAGAACTAGAGTAATGTAAAACAATTAGACTATACAATGATTGAAATTATTGAAATTATAATCTACTTTAGAAATGTAATAAATAATTCTTTCATTTATTTTGATCTAATTGTAAGTTTAAATTCTCTTTATGGGAAGAGTAACGACACGAATACATTCTTAGACCTAATCAATTCTATAGTGTTGAGAACAAACAATATTACTTTATATTTGTAATAACGTCAGGGTTGTAAAAATTCTTCAGCAGCGAATTCAGCAAGCGTCTATCTTTATCATCGGTCACCCTGCCTCCATAGTTGCATTCTCCTGTCAGATAAATGAGCGCGTCGAATGGTACTTCATCGTAATCGTTTAAAAATAGCTAGATCAACAAAATATCACAATTATAATAATCCCGTTTCACAATGTTCATAAAATTAATTAAAAGAGAGCCGTACCTGTAATTGCAAAATACAAATACGCAAATCGGACTCGTTGAACTCATAAGGTATGTTCCAACCGAGGGGGCCGAAATTTCGCCTCTCCTGCACCACCGCGTGGAAGAAGCACAGAGAGAACAACAATCTCCTCCATTCCACTATCTTCGAGCACTCGCGGAAGAACTTGGGATCCGATATGGGGTCGTTCAGGTAACTTCGCAGCAGATTGTTTTTTAGTCCCTTCGGCGGTTCGTTCGTCATCTTGACGCCGTTCTGCAGGATGGACACCGGGAATCCCTTGGACGGATAGCTGGTCAGCCAGATGCGGAAGTCGCGATGCGTCTTCTCGGGCACGATGATCTCGTCGCATATCCGGTCGAGCTCTTTCATCCACGACACGGCGAGGTGGCAGTTCTGTAAGATGACCCACTCGCCGCTTTTGATACCGCGCTCGATCATACCGGTCGCGATTGGGCCTTGGCCCTGACCCAACGAGATCGTCATGAGATTCTTCTTCGAGATCCCGCGGTCCTCGGCAAACTTGATTAGCCCGGCCATCGGGTCCGAGCCGGGCGAGAGCACGAAGATAAGCGGCGTGACGTTGCTCGAGTCGTCGTACGAACTCTGGAGATCAAAGGGCGGTGGTTCCACGAAAGACGCGCCCATATGATGGATGATAAACGCCTGAACTGCGGCGACCAGCTTGTCGGTCCTTACGCATCTCAGGATCACGAGTTTCTTCAAGGTCTCATCCTCGTGCTCGAACGGCGGTGGGAAAGGATATTCCTGCGGGTTCGACAGATCATAGTATGTCTGCCACTGCGAGACGTTGGACTGAAAGGACTTCCTCAACTTTTCAAGACCCGGCAGGAGACTAGCCCTCACGATCTCCGACCAAGATTTGTCGGACAGCCATGAGGGGTCAGGATTGGGATAGGGATTGTCGAGCGCTACTCCACCGGTCAACAAAAACACCCACAGCTCCTCCTCCAATTTATGAGCGGCGCGTAGCAGACCGACGCAGAGCACCAGAGAGAATATCAGCTTGTCCTTCTCGAACAGGGAACGACACACGTTTCTATAGATACTTGCCGTGAAGTACGAATTGAGACTCTTCATTCGGCTGTCCAGATCCGTCGACTGTTCGCTGCTGGCTATCGCCATGACGTAGAGGTGCAGGAACCACGGTAGCGAGTACTGGTACATAGGGTCGATGTTGGCTAACTCGGAGATACAGAAGAAGAGAACCGCGCCGTGCTTCGAGACGGGTTTGTAACCGTTCCGAGCTTTGTCTATCTCCGCCGAAGTCTTCACCGCGATCTCCTGTTTAGCCTGAATGTCCTCCGACAGCTTCTTCGAGGTTGAGAGTATCCTGATCGCGGTCTCGTCCTCGAGTATATTGCCCTCGGACGTCGTGAGAACCTCCAAAATTTTATCCTCAATCTCCTTCAGGATCCTCCTGTTGTTTGCACCCTCCACTATCAGCTGATTTTTCTTCTCCTCCAGCGTCGGTAGCTCCTTGGCCACGACTATGCCCAACAGCTGATCTTGCAGACCCTGAGGCGTGATCATAAAGTTCAATAGAGTCACCTTTACCGCAATCTCGGGCAGGTAATGCGGATTTCGTAGGCGCGTGGTGATGTAGAATCGAAAGTCCGGATTATACTCCAGCACGGTCTCGCCGAACTTCATGTACAGCACCCCGCGCTGCTTGTATACGTTCTTCAGCAACACAGGCTCCAAAATCGCGTCGATCTCCTCTAAAATGTTCTCCAGCAACACCGGCGATCCCAGCTGAATGCTCGTCTCCATCACCCTCGCATAATTGGGATCCGTGAGCTTGATCACCGCTAGCTTGTTCGGCTTTTCCATGTTCTTCACCCATTTATTTGCCTGATTCTGCGGATCGATCATGAGCGGCCAGCGGTCGGCGTGCTTCACGATTATACCGTTTTCAACCGAGAAGTTGTCGGCCGGTAGCCCCTGGATAGTCCAGCCTCTGATTTCTATCGGCTCGCCCAGTATGTCGGTCAGATTAAACCTCGCGCCACAGGGTATAGCCGCTTGCATGCAAGAGGCGTGCCACTGGTCGATCAATTTGTTTCTGTATTCCACCGTGAACGCTCCCAGATAAGCCACCATTCCGGATGACAGTAGAACATCTCCGATTACGTTCCCCAGACTGGCGCCCAGTTTACCGGCCGTCTCGCTCCATCTGCTCTTTTCGCCGCTCAAGCCGCCCAACAGTTTCTCCGCCCTCTCCAACTTTTGCCTGCAATAGTCAATCTGGTCCTCCAGCTTCTTCTTCTCGCGCATACACTCGGCGAATTCGTCGTTGAGAGACTGCAGCTTCTGCGTTACTTCTTGCAGCAGGGCTCGCTTCTCGTTGAGCATCTCCATCTGCGTGGCCAGCGCGGCCTCCGCTTCCGCCAGCATCGCCTTTTTCGGCGCCACGACCTTGATCACACGATCGTACACCTCCATGGCTCGCACCCACTTGCAAAGACCCTCGCACGCGGTGGAGACCTTCTTTATTGCATCCGGTTGGAAGCTCCGGTCGTTTATGAAC